GGTGGAGGTGAGTTCTTCACTCAAACACATCAGAGAGACAGAGAAGGAAACACAGCAAGTTGGGAAAAACTATTTTACCATTTCCAATGCAGTTAAATAAACATATGATCACCCTGTGGTCTAGGGATTCTAGGGGTCTAAACATAAGAGAAATGAGCACAAATGCAGTTTTAGTTTGTGAAGTTCCAAACTATGAACAACCCACATGTCTGTCAACAGAAGAAGCCAGAGGTACAACTAACTGCCTGTGACTCCAGTCCTAGGGGATCCAATGCTCTGTTCTGGGTTTCATGGACAGCAGATACACACATGCACGCACACACAAAAACAAACCTCGTATATACACATGGGAGAATCCAAACACAGAAGACACATACTGTGTAAGGGCTACCACCATAATGTGAAAGTCAGAGTCCACCTTGAGAAAAGAGGGAAGGGCTAGTGGCTCACATACACACACACACACACACACACACACACACACACACACACACACACACAGAGAGAGAGAGAGCGCGGGGAGGGGGAGGGGTGAGAGATCTCAGGGAGGGAGAGGTTTGAGAAATCTGTCTCTTCACTAGCTACCTGGGTGTTTGCTTGGTGATAACAAACTGAACTGTGAAGTTATCTTTTGCTTTCTGTATGAAACTTCGTAACAAAGCTTAAATACAAATAAATGTCAATACAAGGAGACTGCTAGAACTTCACTCTATTTTCTATTTCAATACAAATCATTTTTGTCTAGTTTGATTTGTACCGAGTGGCTGACACAACGCCTGTGTGTTACTTTAGACGTGTGCCCATTCAGTTGGCGGTTCACACATGCTGCTTCCTGGAGCCCTTAGTGTCCTAGTGTTTGCATTTGCATATCAGTATACTGTATTTAGTGTAAATTACTCTTATTTCTTCTTTATAGTCTACGTTGATTTTAGAGACATATGTGTGCAGACAGGCCACAGTGTCTCTGATTTTCTTTCGGGATATTCTTTCGGGATAATACTGAAGGCGCATAAAATACTGGCCTCACAGGGTTGAACACAGAACTCCCCACTAGGCAGTCAGCTCCTCAAGACAGAAGCTAGAGTTTAAACCTTGGTGCCCACTGTGGCTTCAGATAGCAAATATTCCATGATTTACTAAAAGAAAGGGAAAAACCCTGCCGACCTGCAAAGACTGTCTGGAGCCACCACCCTCCAGGGTCTCAAACACTGCACAGTACACTGTGTGACGGACGCTTCCGTCTGGGGGTGGATGACAGCTCTTCACTGTCTTTATCAGTCATCACATCGACACATGTGTTTTCTTTCACTTTTCAAAAATTTGTGAATGTGTGTGTGTGTGTGTGTGTGTGTGCGAGTGTATATGTGTGTGTTCATGTGTAAGAGACCGTGTACATGCATGTGTGAGTATACGTGTGTGCCAATGCGTGCATGTGCCTGTGTGGGTGGGTGTGCCCGCGTGACAGGGGCAAACGTGTGGAGGTCAGAAGACAACTTCAAGTCCACACCTGCCACCCTGCTTGCTGCTGCATATGTCAAACTAGCTGGCCCATGACGTCTGGAGATTCTCCTGTCTCTGCCTCCATCTCTGCCTAGGAGTGCTGGGTTTAGAGACCCGAGCTAGACCTACGTGGGCTCTGGGGGTGGGAACTCAGGCGTTCACTCCTGAGCAGCTCACTTCACCCACTGGGTCATCTCTCTAAATACCCCAAGCTTTCTTTAGCATAAACGAAGTGACAAATTAACAAATGCAATGCAGAAATTTTAAGATTCCAAAATGCTTAAGGCTAGGAAGAAAGTATTGCCCTCAGTCCTCCACCAATTACCCCCAGGGAACTGCAGCATTCCCTAAACAGTTTTGTAACCTCAAATCCTAGGTCACAACTGACAGCTGTCCCCATCTGATTCACCAATAATCAGGCTGCACCACTTTACCTTTCCAGTCTCTTTTAATTAAAACTGTCTCTGTCCAAGACACCGTGACGTGTCTGTGTGGTCCTCGGCCACTACTGTCATCTCTCAGCAACAATATGGAGCTGAGTCACTATTACAAACGAAGAGCTTCAGGAGTGCTCAGAGCGCAGGTTGGGAAGGGCAGGCAGGGTTAAATCCTCCTCCAGCTGTGCCCCCTTCACACTGCCCTCCTCCACCACCTCTGAAACTCCCTTCCCTGGTTTACGCTTGGCCAATGGGGATGAGGACACAGGAGGTCGGCTTATCTGGGTGTCACTGTCACCAGCATCCCTGCTGTACTCTGAAAGTCCATCCCGCCTCTTGTCTTATGCCTCTTACACCTTAAAAACAAACCCACTGGCTGAATGTTATACCCTTATTTAGCGGAAGTGCTGGTGTTCACCATCAGTGGTTTTAATTTTCATTGTGTTACTTGATTAACTGAGTGAGATACTACATGGCATAGAGACGTCACCAGGGCAAGTCAAGGTTGTCCTTGCTGCTGGCATAATATGGAATCTGTAGTAAGGGCCACCAACACAGAAGCTCGGGGAAGCAGACACCACACCATCTGCTGTCAAATCAAGAAGAGTTAATGTCAAGGATGGGGAAAAACAAGAAGGCCTACAAATAATTCACCATCGGCGACACAGCAATGCAGGTGAACTCCTGACAATGCCCCAGCACTGCATTATAAATAGCTCCTGCGCTGTGTGGGTTGCTAGGAGACCAGTTCATTTATCTTCCCTTCCTTAAAGTGGTGGAAAGAATAGCAGACAAATTAAGGTGGGCCCTGGGGAGTTCCCTTCTACTTCAGAGAATTAGCGCTCTCCTGTTGGATCTTTTCACTCCAAGCCACAGCCACACGGTGGCTTCTACAGCACCAACTCAGGCACATTTATTTCAACAGCTGGGGAGTTGGCTTAAAAAAACTAGAGGCCCAACACAGGTCAAATCCAATGTGATAATGGCTCTGTTTTGTTACTCCTTCCTGGGGAAGAACACCCTAAATCCCAGCTATAAATACAAATAATTCTGAGCATTACAAACACTCATGGGGAACAGCACTTACAAAGTCGCTATTAAACTGACAGACAGCAAATAGCTGTGGTGTGATGAGCAATTTCCAATTTGCTCAAGCTAGAGAAATGTTCTCTGAGAACTGAAAACACCAAGCAACACACTTGTTTCTCATTCTGCTGTGACTTTAATTTTGGGGACAGGGTCTCACTGTGTAGCCAGGCTGGTCTGGAACTTGCAATCCTCCTGCCTCGGTCTCCCAAGTGCTGGACTTGCTACTTAAGTTCTGTATTTTGCAATCACACAAACTTTCTTTAATGGCAGAGGAAAAGGGTGTTAGAGGCTCCTTACCGTATGGCTTCTCATCGGTTACCTTCCCGGTAGAATCCAGCGTGTCGGTTGCTTTCCCCAATTCTCCAATGGCAATGTATCTCTAGGGAAGGAAATGAGAAGAGCAGCCTTGAGTAACTCAGGATTGTTAGGTGTGCTTTCTAAGACAGAGAACTTCATTCACACTAACAACCCAAAACAAGGCACAGGCAAAAGTCACACACTGACACTGTCTTCTCAGTCTGTGTCTCTTGTGTGGGAAGCACGTGCATGCCCAGGAACACTCAGACTCCCCACACCAGCCAACAAGAAAAAAACAAACCCACTAAAACAGTTTATTGCTTAAATGTATACTGTTACTGCAAATTTCCAAAACTAATTTTATACTGGGCACACCAGTTTTTAAAGAAATTGCAAACATAGTCAGTTGTCTGCATCATGAACTCATTCCACTTCCACAACCATAGATTAAAAAAAAATTCTAAAAATAAAAAGGATCAGTCTGATTATGTGCAGACTTGTCGTTATTCCCCAAATAATCCAGTGTAACAACTGCGTACATAGCATTTCCTCTATAGGAGCTGCTTCGTGCTACAAGCACAGAGATACTCAGAAGCATGAGAGACTGGGAACATTATAGGCACACAGTGGACAGAATGGTACAATAAAACACAGCGTGGTATCACAAGAATCAGTTACTTTACCATACATACAATTAAAATGATTTCAAGCCAAGTGAGCTGGTACTACTCCAGGAAATACTAACTGCTGTCATTTGAAAAGCAGCTCAAGAGAGAAAGACACCATGAGACAGAGTTCAAGCAGAGGGTTTTTTCTTTTCTTTAATCAGGGGAAAAGGATCCTAAAACAGGGAAGGGGGGAGGGGCTAACCTCTGGGGATGGGAGCAGCCAGAGAGAGGAAAAAGGTATTGGGGGGGAGATGAAGAGGGAAAGGAACAGATAGACCAGACACAGGGAGGTGGGCGGGGCCCTTTTAAAAGGGAACACACTGAACAGGCACAGGTGGTGCTCGTAGTGGCAGCAGCTGAGGTGTATCCTGTCAGAACTCCAAAGGCAGGCCAGTACAGATGCCTGAATACTAACACTAAAACCTGTCTTAGTAACTACATAACACATTTAAACAAAAGCTAAATGTTAGAAACCTCTGGGCAACAGTGGGCTAGAACACAAAGTACAACACAGGCACCCTTAGCAAGCGGCATTTCTCCTCAATAAAGACCAATAAAGACACTAAAGCTGTCTGGAAGGAAAATGCTTTAGAATTGATCACTGTCCGTAGTTCTCATGGCATTAAGATGCCTCAGCTGAGGCCTGGCCGCCTCTTCTCTTTAGGCCGCCTCTCTTTAGGCCTGGATCGCCTCCTCTCTTTAGGCCTGGGCTGCCTCTTCTCTTTAGGCCTGGCTGCCTCTTCTCTTTAGGCCTGGCTGCCTCTTCTCTTTAGGCCTCCTCTCTTTAGGCCTGGGTCGCCTCTTCTCTTTAGGCCTGGGTCGCCTCCTCTCTTTAGGCCTGGGCCGCCTCTCTTTAGGCCTGGGCCACCTCTCTTTAGGTCTACCTGCACCACAAATTGTTTCCACTACTCTCCTGGACAAACTCTGGTTTTGTTGGGGGTTTCCCATGAAGTAGTGAGAAAGAAGAAAGTAGTGTGTACTTCTGTGACTTTTAAAGAGACACTCAGGCCAGATACGAGGCTGCAGCATCTCATCTCAGCACTTTGGAGGCAATGGCTGTCAGATGTCTGTGAGTTCAAGACCAGCCAGTACTACACGGTGAGTTTCAGGTGGGCTACATTAATTAGTGAGACGCTGCCTGAGGGCAAAACCTCAAAGTATTTTGTAGAAATACAAATTTATCAATGACAAACTTATGCTAGTAAAGGAACTAAATATGAAAATATTAAAAATTGTAACTTATGCAGTCATGACAGCAAAAGGCCTTTGATGAAGCCGCCTTCATATCACATGTCTCACGTTTCTTAGCATAAATGCAACACAGGAGTGAATCCCCAATGCATTTGAATCATCGTTTTTAAAACTTTCATTGCGACTGGCAAAAAATTAGCTCCTTATAACTCTACACTCAATCTCATCACCTGATTCACGCACGTGGCTTTTCTCTGGTCTCATACCTGAGACAGCTTCTCTCCTCCAGCTCACAGCAGCCAACCTTGAGTCAGCGTCCCACAGGGAGGGCACAGAAGGATAAGTGGCAAGAGCAGAGGCTCAAACTCAAACTGGCAGGGTGGCAATTACAGCTCCAACACAGATGGTAAAGTGCTTAAGTGCATGTTAATTGCTTCAGAATCAGTTCATCTTAAAGTAGGGAAAAATAAAAAGTGCCTCATGAGAGAAAGCCAGGAATCTAAAACAACAATCTCTGTCCCGGTAAGCAGTGGATAACAATCACTACCACATAAAAACAGAGTGATTCGGAGTGACTCACACGTCACAGTGTGTGTGCATTCTTACAGGTAGCTTGAAAGCTGACTAGTGAGATGGCTGGCTCAGTGCCTGCTATACCGGAAGGACCCGGAACACATATAAAAAGCCAGCACGGTACTCTGTGTTTATAGAACCAGTGCTTGGACAGCAGAGATGAGTGGATCCCTAGGGCTCATTGGCCAGCCAGGCTAACATATCAGCAAGCCCAGGGTCCTGATAGGAGACCTAGCCTCAAAAATCAAGGTGACACTCCTGAGAAAAGGTGCCCAAGGTTGACAACGGGCTACCACACAGTCACAGAGCAGCACACACACAGGGTGGGATGGGCAGTGAGACAGCTGTCTACACTTAAAAGAAAAGACGTGATGATGTTATATACTGTGCTTTTGAATGTTATCTGCAGTGTCTGTTATGCATCATGCTTGAACTGCGTGCCTTATGCTTACATTTTGGTCTCTGGATTCTAGATGACCTTTACCTTGGAACAAGCCAAGTCCATGACTTTGGGTTTTTTTCTCCTAAGTATCAAACCCTTTCATTTTTCAAAGTCACCCTGTTAATCTCCCCTGCCCCACAACTTCCAGACTGTCACTTCCAAAAGATGGACAACAGTAGGTAATCAGTATAAACTGTATTCATAAAAGTAATGGGAGACCGTCTCAAACCCAGATTCCGCCATGCTTCCTAAGAGCTGAGAAAGCGCAGACCTTATCCTCAGCACGCGTCAGGTCACAGTGACTCTACACCTCTAGGATGTTACTGTATGAAAAGAGAAGACACCGAAGGCAACCCCACCAAGAGAAAAGGGCCTGACTGTAACACTTAACAAAGGCCACTTGATGGCTAATCTTCCTGGGCTCTCACACTGTGCAGTCTGAGTGGCCAGGCCACTGCCAGAGAAGCAGGTCAGTAACTGCAGAGTTGCAACTGCAGGCTGAAACAGCAGTAGATTAAGGCACAGCTACTGTGCTGAAATGAAAACATCTGGTCCTCCAACACACGGCACAACCACACTGACAGAGGAATCATGCCAGCTGCCACACTTGGCTTCAGAGCCTCTTGTATGGGAGCACTCACATGGCTAGAGGGGGTAGGGGAGACAGTCCTCATGGGAGCACTCACAGCCGGCGACTGCTGCTTACCTCAACCCACTGCTTAGAAACTGTGGGAGCGGTTTGAGTTCTACACCTCTGACACCACCGACAAACTACTGGGAAGTCAGCAGATTTGGTGAGATACCTGGGACATCCTTTAGGAGAGGGAACATCACAATGTAGGGTGCTAAGACCCTGCAGAGTGCTATTATGGATGGCTTGAAAATGGAAAACTTAATGTGGATATAAACGACTTAGCTGGGATTGACACAATGTCAATTGTAATTATACTATCAGTTTGGTAATTCATATTTTCTCCTGTAAAAAGTGGTTTGATAACTGTGCCAAATACTATTTGACTGATAAGATACAAGCCTTACTATTGGTAAGATACAAACCTTAGAAAGACTCACCAATGAAAATAAGAAAATTTTGACTCATAAGATACAAGCCTTAGAAAGACCTACTTATGAAACTACAAAAAAAAAAAATACTCAGACACAGAAGAATTTAGAACAGAACCTACTGCACCACTGCATTATAAAACTGAAGAGGAGAGGTCTAAGTTATTAGGAAACCAACATTAATTTATCCAGTTATACAAGAATGACCACCAGATGATAGGCACCCACAAGGCTATGCAGAAGTTAACTGGAATCCTACAGAAATGTTAGATTTGAAGAGATTTAAGAAAGCAATTGTTTCATATGGTATGCATTCACCTTTTGTGAAGCAGATGTTTAATTCATGAACACCTGGGAACAGAATTATTCCACAAGACTGGAAAGATTTACTTACAGCAGTACTGGAAACTGGCCCTCAGTTACAATGGAAATACGTACAGAGAGGAAGTTAGGATAATTAAACAACAAGGTAGGGCTAGAGGTATTGATATTTCCCAAGATCAGCTTCTCGATGAGGGCCAGTACGTCAATTTGATGATTACACCTTGGCTCTATGCCATACAGCAGCTTTGAGTGCTTGGGACAGGGTTGAAGAATCAGGAAAGAGATGGGCCAGTTACTAAAATTATACAAGGCCACAAAGAAGAATTCACTGATGTTTTTTTTTAACAGAGATTGACCTCAGTTGTAAAGAGAATGACATCAGGAACAGACATTAGAAAATACTGACACCTTGGCTTTTGAAAATGCTAACAGAGAATGCAAAGGGATGATTAGGCCTTTAAAGGCAAGATCAGCACCAATAGATGAATGGATTAGAAATACAGCTGATGTTAGATCTCATCCTTATGAAGCTTCTTTGATAGGAGTAGTGTTTTCTAAAAATTTTAAGAAAAATCGAAATGTCAGATGTTTTAATTGTGGTATGCAAGGTTTTCTGAAAAGGAACTGTAGGCAAGGTGTTCCTAGAAACAATGTTTGTTTCTAGAGATAATTCTGGAGTGTGCAGAAGGTGTGGCAGAGGGCAGCATTAGACTAATTAATACAGATCAAAAAGGGACAGGTAAGGTGACCCTTTGCCACCTGGAAACCCCTTATAGGGCCTCTTGCAGGCCCCAAAGTCAAATTTGGTTAAACCATTCCCTG